CTAATCAAAGCAGGCGCAGAGATTGGTTGCAGAATGGCTGACGGGAGAACCGCCCTGCATTGTGCAGCAGAGATGAATTCAGAGGAAGTAATCTTCAACCTATTGGCAGTAGCTCAAGCTAATAGAGGTCAATGTGACGGCAAGTCGAAATTGGATATCTTTTGTGTCCGCAATTGACGAATCACACTGCTTAGACATCCTAGATATCAATACGTTGGACTGGGGATTGGGCTTCTCTGCTCTCGCATTTGCAATCATTTTTTCGTCGCTCGAAGTGATCGAAGCATTGATCACAGCTGGGGCATTAGTTCGCACCGCGGGCAGACCCTTGATTTCTAAATGAGAAAATTGTGAGTAAAGCGTTCGGATAATTTAGAATGTTCCCAAAATGTGCGCAATCAGAAAAGTTCGAGCAAATTACGAATTATCCCAAAATTTTCCAGCCTTTTTGCTTTGTAAGAAAAACAAAACCTTTCTCGCTAAGAAAAGCTTGAGAAATTTTATCGGAATCCGGGAATCCTGACACGTTGGATCCGGATCCTTTGACACGTTCCTTCAAGTTTCCCTTTTGAGAAATCTCCTGAATCCTTCGGTTCCTGGATCCCTAAAATTCCTTTTTGAGAAAATATTTACGCGTACGTGCTTTGAACCGCGCGATAGTATATACATTTTGTGGTATACGTAGTTTACATCAAGAACGCTGTACAGTAAGATCAACACAACTAATACGACATAGCAGGATAGCATATAAACAAGTTATGACAATATCTGTATAAATATTAGAATGGTTTGAAGGAGTAAAATCATACACATACGGAGAGCGATATCAAATGACCTAATATCCAATCCCCGTTTAAGTACTGCTTTAGACGTGTGTTGTAGAAGAGTAAAAAACTTACCTCTGTGTGCTTGCTAAGGATTAGTTTGTGAGAGTGGTTCTTGTACGAGAACAGTTGGTCGCGCGCTCGCCTCCTCATAAGATGGATGGTCAACACCATCGACATGTTCGCATCGAAGCCCCGCAAAGTGTAATGCTCATCGCCGGATCCCCGGCTACGATGCCAACCACTGCTACATGTGCAGAAACATATCGGAACATAGTCTGAAGGTCGACGGTGATGAACCACTCACCAGACTGAGAGGTGCGCCACATTGTAGAAAACCAGCCGGTCCTTATAGCGCCTTTGCGCTTCGCGCAAAATCGATCCTGGAGCGTAAGTAAGTTGTAGATTGCCCCCAGAGTCGGTCCCGTGTCGGTCCATGATTTTGATAGTAGAACTTGGGCTATCTTCGGATGAAAAAAGTCTCAATATCTGGAGACTAAGACTTACAGTGAGAGGCGCACTTGGCCTAGCGCCACAAGTCATCATTTTGATGGTCAGAGTTTAGTCGAAGAAGCGCCATGCAGCTTATGAGGATTGTGGTATATGGAATGAGTGTTATTTTGCATGTGGTTGTTTACTCATCGTTTATCAAAGGCGCGTCAACCCATCACTTTGTCCATCTTCTGTACGCGTCTTCTGCTACCAATCATCCTCTTGAAGTATTTCAACTCACTCGGGTAACAAGTTGCGTTTTCAGCAAGAAGCAGCGTTAGCGAGAGTGAAGATGAGATTGTAGGTCAGACTAACGGAAAGTAACTGCAGTACTGGTACGTCCTTGGTCGGTCAGATTCAACCCAAAGTCTTTTCAACCGTGTAATCCAGCTCCTTGTGCCTCTTCGACCATTTGTTGATGCATGTACTCGGTCGGGACCCACTCCGCCTTCGACAATCCTGTCCAGCTGCACCCATGTTCAAAAAATCTTCTTCACTCCTTGGCATCCCGATCTCTTCACATGTACAAGTGCAAGACGACTTCATTCCCTCCAATTCCGGGTGCGCCAAATACGTAGTGAAAGCATCGCCCTGGTACCCGTCGCACAGTGTATTAAACTACACCAGCACTCTCAACTGACCACGGTACTCACCATAGCTCTTCTAAAGGCGAGAGCGGCACACCATGGACTTGTCTCCATACCCAGGATCAGTCTCCAGTAGCCGGGCCCTTTTCCGACATCTCTAGGGTAATCTACGCAGAACGGGTTGTATGCACGTTTTCGAGTCCTCGCACTCAAGCGCTAGCCAATCTCTTTATACAAGCTCGAGTTTTGTCACGTCTTCAACGTCATATCCATCAAATGCAACTATAAAAAGTGTTGAAGTTAGTCCCGGCGCTAGAGAAAGGGAAAGTCTCCGAGATGAGCCTGCGTGGACAGGTGCAGAGCCATTTTCGAGCAATGCTCAGAAAAGTAGAATTAAGATTGAAGTGTTCGGGTTGGGTTCTGCGTTGAATTCTTCCTGCTCGACGATACTGGACTGCGAGTGGCCTTGACGTCAAGGTCAATTTGGGACGTACGGGCGCTAGTGGTTGCCACAAAATGAATTTGGACCGCGATACGAGTTGGGGAAGCGTTGGTGTTACCGAGTCTCTAGATCGGCAGACTACTAAATATCGTCAGTCTGAACCGGTACGGTGATCAATATAGTGCGGGATAATCTACAAGGGTCAACAGTACAAGTGTGGTATGTGGGGGAGCGATTCAAATTGACTGTACTTGTTGAAAAGTACTTGAGAATTGTGAGCAAGAAGCAGACATGTATCGAAATGTACATGTCGCACCTGATTAAACCCATTGGTAGACGACATTCGTTTGATGCCAAGATGTAGCACTGCGAGAACGTTGTTATGATTGACGGTAACCATCTATTACCTCCCTTCCAAAGGGTTCGTTGAGGTCTCCGTGAGGGGGATATGCTTGTCGTTTCGCCTAGTGTTTACAGGCTTCAGCAATCATTGATTTTCGCTTCCGATACTTGAAAATCATTGGTTTTTCATTAAATAAACATACGGAAGTTACACATGGAAGCTGCGTAGCTGTAACCTATATGATCCAATCGTGTAAAGACCATCCTGTGAGAATTGATCAAAAAGGGCGGCTTATGGAATATAATTGATCAAGACACGCACGAGGGAGTGAAGGTTAGGAGACCAGATTGAACCCATTGCCGTTGTCCGTTGTCCAACTAATGGCAGTGAAGAGGATAGCGGTCTAAATAGTGTGTTGAATGATCACTCCAGTCCGATAGTAGTGAACCCAAACCTTTGCAACCACCATGCAAACAGCACTGGAACACCCCAAAACATCATCACTCAATGCCGGCGTAATTGTGTATCTTGAAAACATTGATGCGGAACGTAGGTCGAGCGCGTGACCATATGCATACTCCTCGAAACTCAGAATATAGGTTCGGACCATGAAAAGGAATATATGGATAGATAGATAGCCTGAAAAGAGTGAAGGAACCGTGCGGATCTGTTGTCGGAAACATGTTATGATGGGGGTCATGACTTTGAGGACGGACACCAGCATTCTAAACTATGACTTGGTTGTTAGTCAAAACGAAGAGTCATACAAGAACTTACTAGCTCAACACCCAATCGAAACTGGTAGCGCCCCGATGAACATGCTTTATAGTCCACTTGCCATCATACCAGAAAAGAAAGTCTCGTCAACCTTGGCACCGTAAGAGGTTCGGTATATCGTTCAACACATTCTGGAGGTAAGGGAAAATCGGGATACTGACTGTCGTATCCAATAATGTTGCAAACAGTATTGTTGAGTAAGGGGAAGAGGGCGCGGATGGTGGTGAAGTCCATGATTCATGGCATAATCAAGCTAACAAGATCATTTCGAGAGGTTGGCGTGGTCTGGAAGGGACGAAACTGAACAACTAAAAGCAGTTATATTAGTAAATGGGTTCTGAATACTATAAAGACTAAAAGCAGTTGTATCAGGTGAATGGGTTGAAGCATGGAATCAGTTCGTACATAGGGATACTCCAGTGAACTGAGATAATCCACTGGGCAAAAAGGATTGGTTAGCCATCGTATTACAGACTACTTGAGTATTTCAAGTTGCCTGCAACGTACACTTACCGATTAATTCAGCGTGCTTTCATATGAGAATCTCTCGACGGAAGTCAAGGACTTGCACACGACAATTGTCATGGCAGGAAACCTCAAAGGGTGGCTTGAGGCTGGCCATAGCGGAGATATGAAACATGAAGTCACCTGATCCCCGAATCCGGCCGAGGTTTTGTCCTGATTAATCAACAAATTCCCAGGCTGTCAAAATAAAATGAAATTTGGCGGACTGGAAATTTAAAAAAAAAAAATTAAGGACTGGCGGATGACACCCTCTCCCCCTCCCTCCCTCTCCTAATATGATAAATCTATTAGATTAGATATCAAGATAAGATAAGATATCAACAAGATATCAAGACACTACCGCTCCTAGCTACACCAATTCATTCCACAGCCGGTGGAGCTGTAAAATTTAGTATTTCTCTGAAGAATAATATCGAGGTGTTTGATTTCAAGGGATGAGTCCATCCCTAAGGCTCCAACCCATTTCGATTAATTACCCATTTAATTGGTTTTATCTCATTAAAATTACCATTACCATTACTTGAACTGATTAATAGGTTGTTAACCCATTAAAAATCAGTAATTAATTGGTTTTCCCATATGATTTTTTGAGCCTGACCCTTGCAAAGTTCCATGACGAGCGAAGAGGAATAGCCAAAGAAATTGAATTTGCGCAGACCGAGTTTCACCTAGTAATCTCGAGTGAAGCTGAAGACAGTTGGATTGTCTTGGAGGAACAGGGGATTGATGTCAATAAAGTCGTACCATATACAATGTCGGTGATGAACAAGTAGTCGCACGTTGACCGAGTGTGTAGTAGGGCTATACGAGGCAGTCAAAGGGCGGAGACGGGAGGGTTAAGGGTGGTGGGCGTAAAGATAAAAATGCGTTCGAGGTAGAGAAGGGTACAGGTGGACGACGAACCACAGGGCAGCCACCAAACGATGGATAGAACGAAACGGTACAGAGGGTGCCGGAAGTAGCAATAGTGTCGCAGTTGAGCGTACCGTAAGAACGGGTGACAAAACAACTGGACCTGGCGGGATTCGAACCAGCAGCTTTCAGCTCCCATATTGGAGTACGAATAGGTCAACTGAACGTCTTCCATTAGACTACAGGTCCACGGTAATATAGCTAGGGTATGTATTTGAATCTAGTTCATGATCAACCACGTTTTGACTCGTAAAGAGAGTATAAGGAGTCTGGAGAGATCCCTGACAAGTGTCAAGAACAACTGTAGCATGTACTCGGAAATTTGGACAAAACTGTGATTCTGATCCTATGTACATAGTACTCAAAGCTTGGATGTAGGGTACAGAATATCCAAGATTGAAAAAAAAGGAGAGTGCGTGATATGGTGAAGGCACGGAGTGCAAGACTTCATTCCTTCCAATTCCAGCTGTGTCGATTACGTAGTGAAGACATCGCCTTGACACTTCCACCTGTGGCATGAACGACGTACAGAGTATTAGAGGACAACACTACACCAGCACCCCCAACTGACCATATAACCATGGACTTATCTCCGTATCCAGGATCTAGCCCTTTCTCCGACATTTTAGGCCAATCTATGCACGCGCAGGTTTTCGAGTCAGCGCACGCACACACTCAAGCGCTAGCCAATCTCTTTCTACAAGCTCGAGTTTTGTCGTGTCTCCCATAACCGTCAAAGCAACCACGGAAAGTGTTGAAGTTGGTCCCGACGTCCGGTCTAGATTCTGCATTCACAAAGTCCTCCTGCTCGACGATACTGGATCGTGAGTGGCCTTGACGTCAAGGATGAATAATGTCAATTTGGGTACAAGCCTTGTGCTCCGACTGCCATTTACATGAAATCAGATGCGGTTGCAATAAAATGAATTTAGAGCGCGATGCGAGTTGGGGAAACATTGGCGGTGAGCGTTGGCGAATCTAGCTTGGGATGAGATGGCAAACAAGATGGAGCATCATGAAAATTTTCGAAAGAAAAGGATGGACCTTTTTGGTCTTCACTTCCTTCGATCTCCTCGTCTTCAGCATGCATGCACGTCGGTTTTGCAACGACGACATCATCGAAGGCAACAGTATCCTTAGCGTAGCCTAGGCCCAAGTAATGAAGCCACTACCAGAGAACTATCGCTCCAATATGATGGCAACCTGTTCCCGAGTCTCTAGATCGGCAGATGCTAGTGAACATAGATATCGACAGTCTGAATCTGAATCGGTACAGTGATCCAGGTCGCAATACAGTACGGAACACTCTACAAGGATACGTCAAAAGTACGAGTGCGGTATGTAGGAGAGCGATTCGAATTGACTGTATTTGTTGAGAAGTAAGAACCGTGAACAAGAAACATTTACTGAATCAATGTCGCACCTGATTGAACCTGCGAGAACATACGATTGGCCACTGTCTATTACCCCCCAGTCGGAATTCCGAAGGATTCGTTGAGGTCTCCACGTATCACCTAGTGCTTACAGGATTTTTGCATCCGATACTAGATATCATCGGTTTTCATTAAACAAACATATGGGAGTTACACATGGAAACCTGACTGGGTAGCCGTAACCTATTCATTCAACCCAATCATGTCAAGACGATTAGCTGGTCAGAAATTTGAGGACAGACACCAGCATTCTAAACTATAACTTGGTTGTTAGTCAAAACGAAGAGTCACATAAGAACTTACTAGCATCAACGTCCAGTCAAAATTAGTAGCGCCCCGACAAACATGCTTCTTAGTTCACTTGACATCATACCAGAAAGGTCTCTCAACACGGCACCGTAAGAGGTTCCTGAGGTAAGGGGAAATCGGGATGCTGGCTATCGTATTCAACGATATTGCAAACAGTCTTGTTGAGCAAGGAGAAGAGGAGACGGAAGGTAGTGAAGTCCATGATCCATGGCGTAGTCAATTTAATCATTTCGAGATTAACACAATCTGCTTCTGAGTTTCTTTCAAGGTTGGGCGTCCGCGGCCAGAGGTGCTGTTAAACCGAGTGAGCGTGTTGACAGTCTTCATCGTCCAAACCAAGGTTGAAAGATATTTTTGGTAAACGATGTCAAATTCTACAATATCGTCACTGCGACGACTGACAGTAGCGATAACAGCATGAAGACATTGGGAGAAAGGTTGGAAGGTAAGGCGAGAGATAAAGCGAGGAGCTTAATGACATAGAAGAGTCAGGATGGTCAATCCTTATAAGCTGTAGAAACATACCTGTTCAAGTTCTCAACCCATTCAGGAACAACTTTACCGTCAAAGATTACCTTCCATACATCGTCCGCAATCTTAGCTAGAAATATCTCTTCGACTCCCAGTAACGTATGGCGTTGTCGACAGTATCCCTACCAAGCCAATAGTGGCCAGGCATGGTTTGGAAGGGACGAAACTGAATGGTACAAGAACTAAAAGCAGTTGTGTTAGTGAGATTGAAGCATAGAATCAGCTCGTACATAGGGAGACTCCAATGGACTGTACACCGCTTGAGATAATCCACGATTGCTTAGCCATCGTACCATCAGACCACTTGAGTATTTCAAGTTGCCAACAACGCACACGTACCAAATGAATTCAGCGTACTTTCATATGGGGATCTCTCGACGGAAGTCAAGGGCTTGCACACGACAATTGTCATGGCATTTACAGTAGGCTGAGTTTAGTCGGAGTCAACTGTCAAGCTCATTCGAAAGTCACCTGATCCCGGCGTCACGGGCCGCCACAGACAGTATTCAGAATCATTAGATATCTCGAATGCGCTCCAGGATTAGCACACGACAATCGTTAAAACGCAGGGTGAAGCAACATGAACTTGACTTCAAGCCCAATTACAGCTCGTGGGCGCAGGAACATCAAAAGTGACTTCACAAGAAGCACGTAAAACTAACAACTAGGTCTGTGCGTGAGAATTCATACTTCAACGTCCCAGTCCACTTTCCCTGCTGTTTTCTTGTTCTAGTGATCCTATCCTACTGTACATCAGTGACTCCGATTCAGTACATAGCACGGTTCTATCGTGACTTTCTCCTTGACTGTTTGGTTGAGTGTTATTAGTACTGATTTCCCACAACATTCCCTGTACCATCGACGTATGGTTTATCTCTTCTCTGTCCCGAAAGAATTTGTTTTCATTTTTATTTTAGTTAAATAAATCATGGCGTTAACCTTCACACAACCAGATTTAACTCGTAACAAGGACAGTTCGGGTGAGTTTCAGAGTATTCCGCCTCGTCCAACAGCCTGGACTTAATTCTAAATTTTAGCTGTTATCGCCTTCACCGATGGGCTTGTCGCCGGTATTCATGAGCGGACAGGTACCTTCATTAGCTCACCAAACTGTTACACCATTCCTCGTCCTCCATTTGGTTCGACGCGTGACCTATATCGCCGTGCTGACGCTCGCTATGGGGAAGATGATCCTCTGCAGTGGCCTCAACCCTTTAATCCTAACAATGCATATCTTACTTGCATTCCCATCCATCCCGTAACCCCCGACAATCCGTATCATGAACATGACTGCCTGTGGCATACCCTTCGCCCGCAAGATCTATCTTTTACCCCACACAAATATGGTGCTCAAGAGGGTGTCTTGAACCATTCTCTAACAGATCGCCTCTCTAACTCGGTGAATCAAGTCCTTCTTCGTAAAACAGCATTTCATCCTCCTGCTTGTCAGAGTGATTGGATAGTTCCCCTTCTCAATGAGTTCAATACCACTATTACAGTATGCATGAACAGATTGACTTCAGTGTCATCGTCTTTCCGTAACCATACTGAAGGCCTGGTTGAATTACAGAGAGCCTGTCTTTATTCTTTCGCCCTAATGGACTATGTCGAGATCTTTCTGCCAAGGATTTCATCTCAGGGGAATGTGAAAAACGGCAGAACAGAACATCGCATGGGAGCATTTGTGTGGAACGACGAACACGCCCTCTCTCTCTTTGCCGCAGGACTTCCGGTCTACTATGTACGACTTTGGTCGGACTTCGACCGACAAAATATTTTGAACTCGTGTCAACTCGAAATACCTCCATGCGTTGCCAGCACCGCTTCACCTCCATATCCGATAATTTACAGCGGACAAGCTGGGTCAGACCAGAAGTTTGCTGCTATTCGACATGCTTCAATCTCTTGTTACAACGTGACTAGTCCATTCGAAAATATGCATCTTCCAGGGCAATACTCCTCTTCTTATACAATTGGGTCTGGCAAGCGCATTATTTCTGCTGCACAGTCACCAGCCTCAACCTCAGCCTGTGGTGTTCTGCAACTTCCCCATGGTGAATCTTCTCGGGCCAGGGTTTCAGTATCTCCTTACCAAAAAGATCCACATAAGCGTAGACAAAAACGACAAGTAAAGAATCATAAGTCTTTTTAGCTAGTTATATCTTCATTTACTAATAACGCCCTTGCAGCTCCGAAAGTGCACCGTGATATTTATGCAGACCTCCCCAGTGATCATCCCTATATATCACCCTCAATCCCAGCATGGCGCAACGCCAACAAAACAATCAATATTTGGCATCCCGATTGTCATTATACGCCGGGTCAATTGCCAAAAATTGATACCATTGTTCCTGACCCTGCTCTGATAATTGGACCTGAAACCCGTGAACGGCAAGAGTCATATCTCTCACAGTGGGCTCACATCCGGTCTGCCTGGCTACAGCGATGCAGAATTCGTCAGCCTGAGCAGAGACCCCTGACGGCATCTATGTGGAGGCGAATACTGGGTTTGGGTTTGTCGGGCCCTTGGACAGGAGGCGCCCCACAAAGTGTTCGTGAGGAGGAGCATAAGGAAGCTACTGACCTCGTGGCATCTATGCTTTCGGAATATGCACCCGAGGCTTCACCTTTGTCTGTTTCTGACCTTCAGCAAGCGAAGGAACTCATGCGGGAGCTTTCGCTGATTAACTTCCGTTATCAACTGTTGTGCGTCGATGAGCTGATGGATACCAGCAAACCTAAAGCGTCACCAGCATTGACACGTGCAGAACTTGGAGTAGCGCTGATGAATCATCATCGTAGCAGACTCATGCTTATAGAACACATGTTTGGAGGCTCTGGAGATACGTTTACCGTGCCTACTTTATCATCTAACTTCGGCTTCATGGCAGATAAATGGCAGGAAAGAGTTAAAGC